CCACCTCCCCCCCCCCCCTTTTTTTTGGACATCTCTGGATCCACCCCTGTCTATGGCCTTAAATCTAGTGTTGGCAACCGGTGTGAATGTGTCCTTAGGCTCTGGTATTCTATGCTCTTCTCTCTCTCTGGGCGTTCCTCTGGCTTGGCTTTGATTGTACCGCTTTGAGTTTTACTTTAGTCGCCCCTCCGGTGCCTATGAACGTGCTAGACTCTTGTAACCTTCTCGGAATTTCAGAATACGCCACCAATATATAATCGGATTTAGTGCTGCATTCAGCATCAGAAGCGGTAACATAACTGTGAACATTTTTCTCGCCGACTCCTGCGATATCCAGCCATGTATATAACATATCATTATTAATAGTATTGGTAATAAATAAATAAATGGTCAGTGAACACACTAAAATTTCAAATGGGATAAAGAAGAGGGACCGCAATCGGACCCGTCGAACAGCTCCGGAGATACGCACTTCGTGTCTATTGGATTTGCGTTTCAAAATAACGAAAATAAGAGTACACAAGTTCTACGGTAAGCGTCAATGCACAATGTATGTGTATATATACACGAACTTGTGATTTAAAATAGCAGGTACTATAACTAAGAAGCCTGGCAATAACCACAGCAATATTGATATGATAGCTAATTACTAATAATTTGGCCATACATAACTGGAGCAGCCACAACTAAGATGCGTTCCAAACTCACAGTTAGAACAAAAATTAAAGACCACAACATTATGATCAACGTTATAACTAAATAATAATTGCATACCGAATGCAGTCGGTAGTTGATAAGCACAGAACCATTATAGTAAAGTTCAAACACCCACTTATCAAATCAACGATTGCAAGATTAACAATTAAAACACTTGACTTCTTCTAGGTTCGGGAGGCAACAGACGGTAAAGATTACGAATGCGTTTTAATATGGCTGCAACGCAAATTATAATCGTTAAATAGGCACTGGCCATTCCGGCTCTGACAAAACCAGGCGGTAGAACTAGAATTGTTTATGTTGCTTATTTCCGTGTCATTCATTTTAGTTTTTATGTGCGTCAATAAGATGAGCAAACAAACTTGTTTAATTTCAATGTTCTTGAAATTGATATACTGTTTGGTAAAGTTGTTTTTAGTATCGAATGTGCGCCTTGGAAGGAAGAGATAGACAAAACACAGGAATTATGTAAAAGGACATTGGTTGTTAAAACAACTTATATTACTTGAATTCGACATAATCGACTACGGTACTGTAAGTGAAGGATCGATGGGGTAGCGAAAAGGGGTGCACCCTACCCCATCCCATTCGGATCAGCCAATAAATTACCAGAAGTGTGAAATCATTTAAATGAGGGATTAAAATGGCCAAAACTGCGATATTTCATTGCCCCGATAATATGTTAACCTATAATGGTACGAAACTTTTCCTTTTGTCCACCCTATAGTACTATAACGGTCCTCGATACAATTGGTGCTGAAACCTCGGAGCGTTTAGTGGTAGAATAATCCAAAATTACAACTTCAAGAAAGGAGGCGAGAAAATTAGATGTTAGAAAGCATACAGAAGGTTTAAAAAGCAAGTGTTCTCCCAGCCCTCACTGGAGAGAACTTACTACGGGATCATCACAACAGCTTCCACCACTGATTATCGAAATGTATTGTTCATGCAATGTATTTTGATAGGCCCCCAAATGGATAATTTAAAATAACATCTTTGTGTCTCCACTAAGAATTTCTTTAAAAAATAATAAATTAGTTAAGAATGAAGAATAACTAAGAACAAATATTAAATTAAGTTTTTATCGAATAAGAATATATTAAAAACAATTAAGTTTATCATGAGCAAGAATCATTTTACTTTTAACTGGTATTTTATCATTTACAACCAAATGTTTACAGCCTTTGAAAAGAAAGGAATGCATTACGGCTATTGCTCACTTTTGGTACGCAGTGTCTGGCGTTTGTGCACTTGGGCTCTCTCAGGTTTTCTAAAGGGATTCGATGTGACCAGTATTATTCTACAATGCGTAAAATTGGTTCTATTAAAAAGGCAAACCAAATTTGAGTTGCGCAAACAACCCTAAAACTATAAAAGAAAGGTTTTAAATTGGACATGGACTTAACTTTAAAAAAAAAAATAGCATCCGCTCCGTAACCTGTTACCAATCGATGAGAATATTCTATGTCATTGCCTGTAACTAGGATTTTTTTTTGGGGTGGGTGGGGGGTTCAAATTTGGAAAAAGTGGAGCCTTTTGAAGATGTTAACGAACAACCAATTGCGCTGACCACATAAATAAGAGTTCCATCTTGAAACTTGTATCAAAAGTTGCTACTGTCTATAAAGATTATTTGAACAGGATTGTTTTTTTTTTTTTTTTTTTTTTTTTAAAGTTTAAGTTTTTTTGCCATCCAAGCGGAGCCAGCTAGCAAACGGCGGGGTTCGTCTCCTCTCTGTGTTCAATAACGAAGTGCGAAGGATGCAATTGAGAATAGTGCGTGCTAAAAAAAAGTCAATTAACTGCCATAAGTGCTTAACATGGTGAAAAAAAACCAAAAATGTACTTCAAAAAGTTAGCAGAAGCAAATTTCCACTGAACCCCATCGGATAATAAATGTGGTTTTGTAGAAAACTGAAACTTAGATGTCGTGGAGCAGCAATAAATCGTGTTGTCCAGTACCGCAATGATTATAAACCGAAGAGAGATTCACCAATAGTTATAAATATTTAAAGTTGAAGTAAGCTGACCCTTCGTAAACGACGTAGACTAAACTGAAACAACTTTGTACTTTGACAAGGCCTATGCGGCAGAAGAAGCCAACAACGGAAACAGAGGTGTAGGCCTATATTATTGTTAAGAAAGTGTGAGCAAATGATAAAGAAAATGAGAGTAAATATGACGGGCTCCTTTCGTTGATTTTGCATGCAAACAAGCAGTTAAACCATAATAAATTTCTTAATTGTTTATAATCATGACTAAATTACTTTAGGCCTATAACATAATTTTCATTCTTGATCATCATTACCGAAACGCCTATTAGATAAATTTTATGACATGTGTTACGAATGTTTATGCTTTTGTGTCTTGCTCAATGGCGTAACAAGGTTCTGAGAGGGACCCTGGTTCGAACATCCTGGGCGCGAACCCATTGATGAAACTGAATATTGTAGGCCCTACAATTTTTTACTTTTTAGTTCTTAGTCTAAGTTTCGGTGCAGAAATATATAACTAATGTATCATTATATACTGTCATGTATATTTTTAACCGGGAATAAAACTTTCGATGCCAGTTTAACATACTTACTCGGCTATTTTGCAGAACAAATACCCGAAACTCAGGCTAACCTGATAATTTGAATTATCTGCCCTTTCCAGTTCAGTTACATGATCACATCAACTGGTCCCAGAACATCCTGACCCCATAGAATGACAGTGTAAACATGTGTGTTTGTGGGACACTCGTATTCCTGGACCTGTTATGATTGGACATTTTTTAAGTTTGACACTAAATATAACTCAGAAAAAAAAAAAGAAATAGACACATTTTTTCAAAATAATATGCAATACTTTATTGGTTAGAACAGCTCAAGTTGAAATTAGTGTTTACTGCA